TCCAAAGTCGTTTTTATTATTTTATACTCCCAGCCCCAGCTCCTCATCAGCTGTCTTACTTTATAGTGTTGCTATAAATGGTTGACTTTAGTAGGTTTCTTTTCTGACATTTTAGGGGCTAGAATTCAAGATTGGGGGTTTCTGTTCCAGGGGAAAGCTTTTTCTTTCTTTCTATTGATTCTGAAGGGGGGAAGTAAGTCTCCGGGTGTCTGCTCCTAGGCAATCTTTGTGTGGCTTGGCATCTTGTCTCAGCTCCTTCCTTCTTTGATCTCTCGTATCTGGCATAGTGTATGATGAGTTGGGCTCCTAGCCATAAAATCAGCAGTTTGGATCCACTAGGAGCCCCACTGGAGAAGGGTGAGGCTGTCTGCTCCCATGAAGACATACAGCCTCAGAAATCCAAAGGGGCAGTTGTACTCACAGTTGTGATTGGGTGACAGACAGACTGCTGCTAACTGAAAGGCTGGAGCTTCAAGTCCACCCACCGGTACCTTGGAAAAAAGGTCTGCTGCTCTACCAGTCACTGCAGCCTTTACAGATTTAAAGGTTTGGAAACTCAAAAGGGCAATTCTTCTCTTGTCTTACTATGAGTTAAAAATTAATCAGATGTAAGTGGGTTGTTCTTTTTGGCAAGGGAGGCTGTGCAGTGTATACAAAGACTACAAGTTGTATCCACAAAGCCAGTGGAAAATTAAAAAAGATGAAAAGGCACTTATGTGGAAGGTGTTCATAAATATTATTGAAGATCTTAAATTTTTCTTCAAATTATGTGAAAGCATTTCAGATCAGATTTTAATATATAGAAGTCAGCGGATAATTTAATGTTAAATGTTTGATATGGCTGGCACCAGGCTTCTTAGACAAGCTCAAACTTTGGAGAGTTTTCTGTGCACAAGTGGAGATGTGCTTTCTTCCAAAACTTGAACATTTTAATTTTAATAAAGGAGTTTGAACTCTGACAGATCCATTTGGTTTCCGAATATTTGAATCTATTTGTTTTACCAAACTCATTGCCAGTATGTCAATTACAGCTCATAGCAATCCAGTGGGACAGAGTGGCACTTCTGTGGGTCTCTGATGTGACTCTCTGTAGGAGCAGAAAGTCTCGGCTTCCTCTTGCCGACAGCTGGTAGGCTTGAATAGCCGCCCTGGTGGTTAGCAGTCAAGAACCTAACATTGTGCCATCAAGGCTCTTTATTGATATACAGTAACTCATGTTTCTGCCTTGTCTTTAAGTTAACAGATTAGAACTCTTGCTATTCTAATAAAAGTGAAGTGATACTTGGGGGAGAATTCTGAATTCATACAGTTTTCACTATTCAACTGTATCTTTGGATCAGAGGACATCATGGGAAGTATAACTTGACCTAAATAATTAGTACAACACAAACTATTTTAGATAAGCCCAGGTACACTTCTTCTATCTCCGGCTAGCTAACACTACATTAGCATATCTTGATTTTTATTTTTAATGGCCAAGCAGAGTGAGAGTGGCATATGGCTTATGTCCTGTATCTAAAAATCTAGAACTGAGAGGGAGAAACTGCTGCCCTTTATTGAAATCACAGGTCAGTTATACCCAGAAATAAGCCTAATATTTGAGGCTTCAAAATGTGTATAGACCAATATAATTGTTCCTTTTCTTAGACGTGGCTATGGTATTGATGTTTACGGAGTAGACAATCCTTAATTAGAAAATGCATGCTAAAATGTCCCATGATATGGTAAAAGTACAAGTATGTATAAAGCAAGTCAAACAAAATTTTAATACTTGTGGATTTTTCAAGTTTTCTCTCACTGCACTGTTTTATAATAATAAAAAAAAACTAAGACAAAAGACTAGATGAATTGGGGACAAATAGATTATCCAGTATTATTGCCACAACTGATTAAAAAAATTTTTTTTTTCTCCAGTTAGAGAAACTAATACAGGCAGATTCTTAACTAAATGTCTGATGTTTACCCACTTACGTTTAGTTTGAATTTAACTGGAATTTGTCTTTTTTTTCTTTAAAAAGCAGTGTACTTGTCTTTCTTAAACTGCTGAGTAAGTGGTTTTCACTAAACCACTATATTTCACTAAAAATAAAGCATTCGATTCCCAATTCAACAATTTCAACACAAATTCAGTAAAACATAACCTTTTTATAAATTTCTGGTGGGGAACATCTTTCTGACCAAATTCTGTACTTTAGAAGGATTGACAACAACAAAAAAAAAGAAGGATTGACAAACATTCAAATGGGGGGAGGGGAAAGTATTGAATAAAGATACTATGAACAAACTTAATGCCATAAATAAGCTGAAATGTAGAAGAGAACTCAACTGAACATGAGTACATAAAGTAAGTCAGAAGAAATAACTATTCATAAAACAATAGTCTCATGAGTAGTTGTGGGAAAACAAATTGCCTTTTTCCACCTATCAGATTGTGTGTGTGAGAGAGAGAGAGAGCGCGCGCGCGCGCGTGCGCGCGCGAGCGCAGGTTTGCATAAATGGATTTGTCAACACAAAACAGGAAGCAATCTGGTATCCATCAACCAGGATAGTAAAGGAAGCTACGGTATTTTCATAAGACGCAAACTGGAGTGTAGGGGACAATGTCACCCAGCTCTGAGAATGTTCTTTAGCAACCTGGATGTATTTCCCAATATACAATTTTAAATGCAAGCTCTGTCTCTCAAAGGTTATTAGAATATGGCCCAATTTATGTAAAGCAAGCCTTACGCCTATAGTTCCACTTAGAAGAGGTTAGGAAACAAGACTCTTATTTTACTGTATACATACAGTTCAGCATATTTTTGTGTGTATGTTCTGTGTTGTCATCATTGCTTTTGAATTGTTTACACAGCAAATTGGTTTCTCCTTTCAACAATTTTTAAGCAGCCTTGTGCTGTGTGTGAGTAAGGTGTTGGGGTGCTAAATACAAAGTCAATAGATTAAACCCACCAGCTGCTCCACATGAAAAAGATGAAACTTTTTGCTCCTGCGAAGATTTACAGTCTTGAAAAATCCTACATAATGTTCTTCTGTGAGTTGGAATCAACTCAGTTGCAGTGAATTTGGTTTGGTTTTAATAATTTTAACACAAATGGTTCTAGGGCAGTACAGATTTCACACTGCATTGGCATCTTGTTATTTCTACTCTCCTTGTTCTGTTTCCATTGATCAAACTTTCCTTCCTTCCCACTTTTACTTTTGGGTCATTGTTCACCTGTTGGTCTCATATAGTTCATTTAAGGGAACACATTTCTCTTGGTGCTACGGTTTATTTTATATGCCAGCTTATTCTTCATTCAGAGTAGATTCAATCCCATATTCAGATATTATGTTTGGGGGTTCTTGCAGTTCCTACTGTTCTAGTCCATTTTTAGGAATTTGCATTTTGTTCCACAATTTTTCCCACTCTACCCAGTCCTTCCATTGTTCCCTACTTAAAATGTCAGCATTGCTAGCTGAGCCCCCCACCAAGTTCTTCAGGTTTAGAAGAGACTGATTCATGTGGACGTTTTGTTCCATGGGTATTCTTTGAGCCCTCAGTCTCCTTTTGTCTCCTTTGCTTCATGTGAATAGAGGCCAGTTGTTGTATCTTGGATGGCAGCACACAGGCTTTTCCCCTCCCATGATAGTGTTCTTTTTAACTAATGAAGGTTCCCACCAACTTACCAGATAAATCTTATCACAGTCATGTTTGTGCCCCCTTCCATTGGGGGATGGGGTGGGGTGCATTTTATTGTGATTTGAGTGAAAGTTCAAAGCAAAAATTAGTTTTCCATTCCACAATTCTTTCACATTTTCTTCCGTGACATGAACTGCAATCTCCTCAGAGTAACAGCACTTTTCTTTCTCCTCCCTGGGTTCCCTGTTTCCATTTGATCATCTTACCTGCCCCACCTGGATTTTGTTTTTAGATTGATTATTTCCTCATGGGTGTTATTGTTCACTTAATGGGCCTGTCTGATTTTTGGCTGAAGGGTATCTATGGGCCAGATACAATTGCTATCAGACCAGTAAAACATGGTATTTTTTTTAATGATTTTTGAATTTTGTTGTACATTTTCCTCCCACTCTGCCCAAGACTTTCTGTTGTGCGTCCTGGTTACAGTGGCTGGTAGCGATAGCTGGATTCCACCTAGTTCTTCAGGTCTCAGGCTAGTGGAAGCTGTGATTCATGTGGTCCATTAGTCCTTTTGCCTCATTGTGTCCTTGACTCTGATTTCCTTTATTCTTCTTTGCTCTGGATGGAAAGAAACCAATAGTTTAGATCAGGGGTCCTCAAACTATGGCCCACGGGCCACATGCGGCCCGCCGAGGATATTTACCCAGACCGGCAGGTGTTTTTGCCCAGTTTTGTTTTTACTTCAAAATAAGATATGTGCAGTGTGCATAGGAATTTGTTCGTAGTTTTTTGTTTTTGTTTTAACTACAGTCCGGCCCTCCAACGGGTCTGAGGGACAGTGAATTGGCCCCCCGTTTAAAAAGTTTGAGGACCTCTGGTATTATATGGCTACTCGAAAGCTTTAAAAATCTTAGTCATTACTAACCAAACTAGGATGAGTGGAATATTTTATTTGTGTGTACTATGCTAATTGGTTGACTAAGTTATTTCCTGAGATTAAAGTACGAAGAGTATATTTCTTTCTCTTTTTTTAACATCCAATTGTAGTCTCTTAATTTCTGTTTAGAATGGAGTCTAGGATCTTTTTTTTTTTTTTTGAGTCTAGGATCTTGTACATCTGGATTTGAGTTAATCTATGTAGTGATTTAAGATTAGAAGCTTCCAAATGACATTTTGTTATCATTATTGTACCTTTTCTAACTATTGAGGATATAATTCAACAAAAACTGAAATTGTTGTGAGGATTATGCATAGGAATTGATAAAGGAAGTTAACAGTAGCAAATGTTAACTCAAAATAGCACCCAGTTCAACTCAATAAAAATGATTTTTAAATGTTAGGAGTGACAATGTATGGTTTTATTCCTGTTGTGTCTTTATAGGTTTTTGATGAAACTGAGTCACGAAACTGTCACCATTGAATTGAAGAATGGAACACAGGTCCATGGAACAATCACAGGTATAGTTTTAATAAACTCTTCTCTTCTTGAAAATGAGAATTATTTCTCGGTTGCTTGATGAACATTATTACAGAACAGATCACCCTTTTAAAAGAGCCATCTTATTGGGGGGCTCTTACAAATCTTTTAACAATCCATAATTCAGTTATATTAAGCACAGTTGTGCACATGTTGCCATTAACATTTCCAAAACATTTTCTTCTTGAGCCCTTGGTATCAGCTCCTCTTTTTTCCTCTCCTTCCCACCCTCTTGAATACACTGTCCATTGTATCCCTCATGATATCGCTACTCGCACTACTGTTCCTGAGGGGTTTATCTGCCCCGAATTGCATGTGTTGAGAGCTCTTAACTGTACCACTGTGTACACTCCAGTATAGACAGATTTGTAAGATAGAACTGGGTCATGGGAGTGAGGGGAAGGAAGCGTTGAGGAACTATAGAAATGTGTATTTCATCAGTGCTATACTGCACCATGGTTGAATCATCCCTTCCTTGTAACCCTTCTGTGGAGAGATGCAGATCACTTAAAAAACCAAACAAACCTATTAATATCTTGTTTTTAGTGAAAAATACCACTCCCATGCAGCAGTTTATAGCCATTATGATGATATATTCTTCACATTGCATCCACATTCTCATTATTTTTATCCTACTTGTTTCATTCTCATTGACTTACTCCTTGTCCCTCCTAACCTTGTATGTGCTCTTTTGGCCTTATAAAACTCCCAAACCAAACTCACTGTCAAGTCAGTGATGACTCATAGTGACCCAATGAGACAGAGGTAGAACTATGCTGTAACTCTATAGGGGGTAGGAAGCCTCTTTCTCCCTTTAGTCACAATAGATAGTTTATTAAAGAGTGTACCACTCAAAAGTGACACTCTTTATTTTTTGAGCTAAATGGTTCCTTTGTTTGAAGATAGCTTAGGGGATATTTGAGTTCACAGTTTCGAGAGTAACTCAGTGCTGTAGTCTAGGTGACTGCAGCCTCTGTGTCCAGTATGTCTTGATTCTTCAAGAATTTCCAGTTCTGTTCTTTTTCTCCATTTAAAAAAAAAAAACTTTTATTGGGGGCTCTTACATCTTATCACAATCTATACATTGATCCAGTGTGTCAAGCACATTTGTACATACGCTGTCATCATCATTTTCAAAGCATTCTCTTTCCACTTGAATTCCTGATATCAGCTCCCCATTTCTTCCCCTCCCTCCCCCACCTAGCCTCCCTCACGAACCCTTGATAAGTTATAGATTATTATTTCCACATCTTATATCGTCCTTTGTTGTCCCTCATCCACTTTACCGTTATTCGTCCCACTGGCAGGGGGCAGTGTTCTAGGTTGTTCCTTGTGATTGATTCCCCCTTTCTCCCTTCACCCTCTCCTAATCTTCCTGGTATCTCTACTCATTGTTGACCCTGAGGAGTTTATCTAGCCTGGATTCCCTGTGTTTGGGGCTTTTATCTGTAGCAGTGTACATGCTCTCTTCTAATCTGATTTGTAAGGTAGAAATGAGGTCATGATAGTGGGGTGAGGGAAGCACCAAAGAAATAGAGGAAACGTGTGTGTTTCATTGGTGCTATGCTGCACCCTAACTGGCTCATCTCTTCCCTGTGACCCCTCTGTGAAGGGATGTCCTATTGTCTACAGGTGGGTACATTGGGTCTCTACTCCATGCCACCTCCCGCCACCCCCCTTCACCTTGGGTATGGGGTTTTTTTTGTTGGGGGGTATGGTTTTATTCTGGGTCTTAGATGCCTAATACCTGATTCCATTGACACCTCATGATCACACAGGCTG